GGGGGTCCGAGAACTTTCTACTTTTCCATACCATCATTCCTTCAAATACTTGGCAATCTGCACTTCCTATGTTAAATATAAAATGATAAATAAATAAGAGATCTAATTGTATCTTCAAGTAAAGCAACCTTCTTGAAATGTGTGTTACTTTCTTACATCACGGTTAGAATTGTATCTCCATGTTTTCAGGCCAGTGCATTTGCTGAGGAGTTTATGCGGCAGTTGCCTAGTTTGATCAACAGTTGGCTAAGCAGAGGCAAGAGACTGCAGATGTTGAGGAAGTGAGCACTCTGGATTTAATTTATTGAACTGAACTTGAATGCCACATATACTCACAATGAGCTTACTCTCGTGTACCCTCCATGAGAAACTGATATTCACCTTCTCATTTGCAAAATAATTTTCAGTTTCTAAGAACCAGAAGTGTCTTGCACATCACATAACTTTAAAGACTTTATGTGATCTGTTGGAAGCCATGGATTTTGTCAACAGCAAAGGGGCCGTCAGCTGTGAAGATATAGTAAGGAAAACCCAGTTGCACAACTCTTAGGATCTGATATATTCACAACTGAAAGATAGGCAAAGCAAGGTCGAGTAGTGTGCGGTCCTGGTGCCGGGGCTAAAGTGACAGCCGATGGAGATTTTGTGACATCTCGCGACTTGCATCATATCTTGGTGCTTCATCATAAATGAGTCATTTATGCCGGGTATCAAAACACTTTGGATACTTATATTGGGATTAGTTATCCTGGTATTATTTTTTACTGTGTTTATTGTATGAACTCTAGGATTGTCAATTTTACTGTTTTATCCTGGGCTTATTATTCCAGGCTCTGGCACGTATAACTCCCGGTAATCCATAATTCTAGGATAACTTATCCCAGGATTAGTAACCAAACAATGGATAGGCGATATATACTAAATTTTTATCCCATGATTATTTTTACTTATCCATCATACCAAACGACTACTATATTGTTGGTGTTAAAATTTATGCTGGTATTATCATGCCTAATTTATGAAATCAAACGGCCCCTAAGTATAGCATTGATCATTAATTCATAAGGTTGTGACCCAAATTGAAACGAAAATAAAAAATAGTAAAAGAATGAAAAAGAAGAGGACATCATACTACAGAGTTTGCAGAAATCTCAAAGAAAAGTCGAGAGAAATTAGAGAGTGCTCTGCAAACATTCATAATAATGTAATACTATTATGGAACCTACCACGTGGAAGGTGTTTCGTTTTTTAAAAAAAAAAAAATGAAGGACATAGTACTAAATCAGAAAAACTGATAATATTTGATTCAGATTAGCAGTTAAAAGAACATAGAACTAAAACAACCTAATTTTATGATACTTATTCAAAAAGACCTCAAAACCGTAGCTTAGAGTCCTAACTAAGTGGAGTCAGTATGCTAAATAACTATCATGCATCAAGAACATGTCATTAATCAATCCATCTATGTTCCTCATTACTCAGTGGTTTAATTTTTTATGAAAAAAGAAAAACTCAACCAACTACTTTAAAAGATGAAATTTAGCACACTGAACTAATGAGAACATAATTTAACAAATGAACTTAGGAAAGGCCATATGGTACAAAATATCCTAGTAGTTTAAACTGAGTAATTGGGGCCTGGACAAAAAGATGGCTAGGCCAGTCATTACTTTCAAGTCTTTCAAATAGCAGTTCTCAGACATTTACATTACTTGGAGATTTGTAGAAGAAAATTTTGAGGCTATGCACATATATTGGATTGACAAAATTTTGATTAAAAAAAAAAAGGACCCCAAAAGTCAAGTTGCTTCACTATTGTCCCTCCCTCTTTGCAACCTTTTCAGAATATTTGCCTGCAAAATACATTATTATGAAAGTTGTTACAACACATTTTTGTGTACCGCTAGAGCATAAAACTTTAACTCGACAAAAATATATTAGAACTGGAAGGATACTTACAATGGAGGTGCGCTATAGGTATTTCTTCATTCTTGATGAGTTCAAACTTGAAAGTATCTCCTACTTGGAGACCATTTGCTGTTCTGAATTTTGACCATCCATTTATAATTCCAAAATGATGTGAATCTCTCCCTAGCCACACTGTCCAAGATCTCTGTTCTTCGTCTTTCAGAATCATCTCACACTTTCTATTCATTAATCCATTTGACTTTGCAAAATCCAATGGGAAATACTACCATAAAATTTATTAATTTTCATTATGTAATTAAGTTTGAGTTGTTACCCCAAAAAGGGAAAAAAGGCAAAGAAAAAAATATAACTAAAATCAGTTTAAGTCACTTACCAAAACTGACTTCTTGGTGCAATAAGGTTTAATGGTTGAAATAAAATAAGGAAGATCATTATCATCACCAGAAGTTGAAGTAGATACTTTTGCATTGAGAGGACTCATGTTTGAGGGCTTTTTCCTAATGTCTGTTGTTCCAAATTAATTATGTTGAAATGAAATGATTAATTAGAATAGAATATGATATGAAAATAAAGTTCAATAGTTTGAATTAAAACTTGACTAGATTCTAATTAAATTACACAGATTATTTTAAAATAACAAGCCTTCTGCCCTAGAGTTTTGATCTAGTGGTAAGAGTGCATATGACAATGAGAAAGATCATCAAAATAAGAGTCTGATTATAAGATGAGAAAACTTACCTTGAGACTTCTCCATTGGAGTTTCTGCATCACTAACAACTTGAAACTTCCATATTGATGTCCCTCCATCAGTAACAAGCTCAAACATAATACGATCTCCCTCCTTTAAACGATTATCAGCGATGAATTTACGCCAGCCACCTCCAATATAAACTCGCTTTTGGCAATTAGAACTTAGCTTTAAATTCCACGTCCTTTGTCTTTCATCTCTTAGAATCAAATAGCACTTCTTGTTGGTGAGACTATTTGCAAATTGTTGAGGAAGTATCTGCCGTGGTGTATAACAATTTGCATACATAATTAAACAGTTCATATTCTTCATACATTCACTTAACAAAGATAAAGAATAACAAAAAACAGTGCACATGCTTATTTTATCCCAGTAGTTGCACTATCATCCGTCACATGGAAAATTTTAATTAAATTTAAATAACACACCTGAAAAATAATACAAAGTAAACAAATTTGGGTGAGGAAGAAAAGCTAATAACTATATCGCCCCAGAGCTAAACCAGTATAGTATACAAAGTCGAATTTAAATTTGACAATAAGTCGACACTACTTATATGAAATCATGCTCATGTCATTGCTTTAGCCTAAGATTCTTGAATAGCTTGAAATTAATGTGTTTTGAGACATACCAAGAAACTTCTTGAAAGGCAATAGGGTCTAATAGTGCATTCAAAATGAGTAGCTGCTTCTGCATGGGAAGAAACCTTGTTTGACGACTTGATGCCGGGGCTTGGCTTTTCTGTCACATTGTCAAGAAATTAAATATGGAATTAAATTACACTTAAAAAAATTATCAGCATTTTAAATATTCACTCCATACACGACTAAAAAGAAGGCAGCCTGGTGCATCCCGCATTCACGCAGGGTTAAGAGAAGCGTCGCACCAGCATACCGTAATGCAAGCATTAATGGGATTCCATAAAGAATACAAGAATACAATTTCCATAAAGAGCTTCACCTTCAAATTCAAAATCCTCGGAAGTCTCTCCAAAAGTATGTGCTGCTTCTCCTTCCTTTTCTTCTTGCAAATACTCTGCATATTCTCTGACAATTCCACTTGAATCAAAGATGGTAACCTCAAACTCCATGTTTCCTTCATGTCTGAAAATCAACAGATCTCCTAACTGCAAATCATGCTGTTGTGCAAAATCAGCCCAACCCGCTTCGAATCGACAGCCGCTCACCTTAACCCGCCACTGCTTACTGCCGCTTCTAAGTATTGCATGTTCAATATGGTCATATCCTTTCAGATACTTCAAGAAACCAGTAGGAATTTTCTGCAGTACATTATATACTTAGATTAGCCTTGTTCCAAATCTTAGGAGAGGAAATCGTACTAACTATCTAACCGGTTAAACAATTAAAAGAATGCTCATATGGACTATGGTTTTTCTAGGATAAATTCTTCCACCTATATATGATACATGCATATAGTAGACAAAGGAAAGAAGAAATACATATCATACTCACAAGACCATTCTTGAAACCTAGCTGAATAGGTTTGAAAAAATGAGGTTTCTTTGGAGGGACTCTCATGGCAAGCAGTCACAGTGAACAAAGTATATATCTCTTGTTTAACTCTGTTTTTTGAGATTGATATACTGACAAAGATACTTTTATTTTTATTAATGTTTTAAAAAACTTTAAGGATATTTTGTTCATTATCAGTACTACTTTTGTCAGTTTCAGCAATCCTATCAAAACAGGTTCAGCTTTAACTTTATGCTTATCACCTATTTATAGGGCGGAGCCAGTGTTGTGCTTCCAGGTTCGTCAAAACCCAATAGCTTCGGCTCAAACTCTTTATTTGTATTACAAAATTCACTTAATATGTATGAATAATTTACTCGCCAGGAAGGCACATTTTTTAGAATCCAAAATCTCATAAACTCAAAATTTTAGCTCCGCCTTCGGCTCTTTACAATTAGCTAGCCCAAATGGGCACTTACAATCAGCTAGCCCAAATGGTTAATTTCAGAATATTAGTGTTTTTCTTTTTTCTGAGATAAATTGTTCACCTCCATATCATACATACATGCATACATACATATAGTAGACAAATGAAAAATGAAAATTACTAAAAGGGTTAATTTTACTCACCAGAGCCTGCTTGAAACCTGGCTGAATTGGCTTGAAAAAGTGAGGTTTCACTGGACGGACTTTCTCTTTCATAGCCAGCAGTAAAAAATGCAGTTATTATAGACAAGGAATCCTTTTCTGTTGGTGATTGATATAATTGAAAGATTGAAGCTTCAATTCAGTTCCGGGGATGCAATTATTTGGTAACTGAAACTTGAAAGGAATGATAGATTAAATGGAATTACAGCTTTTCAGTGGACTGTGCAAAACAGACGAAGATTTTGCAAGTACCCGCCGGAGCCCAACTGACATAGGCCTTAGCATTTGACTAGTCGGGCTGGGCTGCCTCATTATTTTGATGAGCCTTAAAAGTATTTGTATCTATACTCGATTTTGGCGTCGCAATTGAATCTAATCCGTTTTGCAAAAAACATTACAAGGGGAACCATTTTACAAGCAACTTCAGACTTATCGAGTCTGAAGTTTAAAAAAATTAGTCTGAAATGAAGAAATTGTACTTCAGATGCACTTAAAGCCAATTAGGTCTGAAGTGCAGCCAATGGTTTCATGCACTTAAGGCCAATAAGTCTGAAATGAAAAATTACACTTCAAATGCAATTAAGGCCAAATAGGTCTGAAGTACAACCTATAGTTTCATGCACTTAAGGCCAATAATTCTTAAGTGAAAAATTGCACTTCAGATGCACTTAAGGCCAAAAGGTCTGAAGTGCAACCAATGCACTTAAGGCCAAATAGGCTTGAAGTGTAAATTGCATTGAAAAAAAAAATTTGTTCTTCGAATTTTAACAATCCAATATACTATTTAACACCTAAATCTACTCCAAATGAGCTCAAATTTGAAACATTACCTCCAAATATCATCAAGAACAAACATCAATCGTTAACTTGTCAAAACAATAATAAATCTAACGAACCCATTTTGCAATTTAGAAAAAGAAAAAGAAGAAACCCTAAGCAATAGTAAAAAATAAAGCACAACTGCTCACTACTGTAAAATATCATAAACTACCTTAAAATATGTTCACAAACACCTATAAAATTCCTGTTACATGAAGAAGAAGAAAGAGGAGAAAAAGGCCTGAAGTTGTTTAAACACTAGGTACAAGTTAAAAAAATTAAAAAATGGGTACAGATCAAAATGGGGATGATCAAATAGGGCACCCCGTAAAAATTTTACGCCTTAAAATAATAAGCTTAGCCCAGTCCTACATAGTTGTGGGCCTTATGGGCTGGCCCATTATTTTTAAAAATATAATTTTTGTATTTTTTCAAAATTGATGTTAACCTTAAAAAAAACAAAAACAAAAAAGTTAAATATTTACGAGTCAAAAAATATCTTATTAGAAAACAGAAATATCCTGTAAGACTTAATAACTTTCGATAATGTTCCAATATATTACAATAAATATTAGAAAAGAGAGGATGGTGTTCCATTCAGTGATAGGGTTGTCTTATAATCTTCATTTTTCATCTATATCTACATGTGATAGGGTTGTCTTATAATCTTCATTTTTCATCTATATCTACGATACACATGGTCATATGTAATGTCAATTAGTTAAATATTAAACATAACAAAATATTAAAAACTTATAATAGTTAAATTCACATATAAATAATACCAATTTGAGCTTGGAAAAAGTCGTGTGACGGCATAACCCTTCGTGCTTTTACTCTAAACCTCACCATATGAATCAAATAGAAACGACACGGCATCACACTTCGTGCATTAACTCTCTCATAACATGGCACGACATCACCCTTCGTGCATTAGCACTCACAATATGGTACGGCATCACCCTTCGTGCATTAACACTCACAAAACATGGCACGACATCACCCTTCGTGCATTAACACTCTCCCTCACCAAAACAATGAACAATAACAACAGGGAGATAGAAATATCAAGAACAAGTCTTACTTCAACATTTGGTTCCACAATACCAACCACAACTTTGAATCAATACTCAATCAATACCAAAATCCGTAAATATGATAAGAACGATCAACATAGCGATTAACTTGTCTAAGCATGGGTAATATGATCACGGAAAGCTACAGTTACATGAATAAGACTCACTCACATGCTATGACTCGACGACAACGCATAGGTACTCGTCACCTCACCTATACATTGTACTCAACACTCAAACACATAGCAAATAGGCAAATAAGACCTAATCCCTCGAGCCAAGGTTAACCACGACACTTACCTCGCTCCGCGACCAATTCAAAGCTCTACCGGGGCCTTTCCCCTAGAATTCGCCTCCGAACCACTCGTATCGAGCCAAAATTAACTCAATAACATCAAATATTGCTAAAGGAATCAACTACAATGCATAAATTTAGATTTCCCAAACTTTCCCCCAAAAAGTCAAAAACCAACCCCGGACTTGCTTGGTCAAAACCCGAGGTTCGGAGCAAAATTCCCAATTTCCCAAATCCCTAGTTTCTACCCAAAAAACCCCAATTCTACCATGAAAACTCTAGATTTTAGGTTAAAAATTCAAAAAATATAATGGGTAATTGAAAGAAAGTAGGTTAGAATTACTTACCAACAATTTGGGGAAGAAAATATCTTGGGAGAATCGTCTCTAGGCTTTCTAGCTTTTGAAAATTTGAAAGAATGGCCATAATCCCGTAATGGGATTGTTTAATAGCTGGGCGATAGTGTTCATCGTGTTCGCGTGAACACTGTCGCGTTCGCGAAGAGTAGGGCCTAAGTGTCCTACGCGATCGCGAGTAATTGTACGCGTTCGTGAAGGTCTATCCCCCCTGACCTCCGCCTTCGCAAGACGGGGCTCGCGTTCGCGTAGAGTCACCTCAACTCCCTACCCAGCCTAGCTAAAGCTACGCGTTCGCGTGAGACGGGTCGTGTTCGTGTAGAGCAATCCCCCCAGTGCTCCGCGTTCGCGACCGTGGTCTCGCGTTCGCGTAGTGTGAAATCCTCCCCCAGCCCAGATCCCCTTCGATATCGCGAAGAAAAACATACCAGAACACAAGCTGCAGCAAAAACACCAAATTTTTCTAAGTTCAAATCATCCCGAAGCCTATCCGAAACTCACCCCAGCCCTCGGTATTGCAAACCAAACATGCACACAAGTCCTAAAATATCATACGAACTTGCTCGCATGATAAAATTTCCAAAATAACACCTCGAACTATGAATTGAACACCAAATCGAATGAAATTTTCAAGAAGGCTTTAGAACTTCTATTTTTACAACCGGATGTCCGAATCAAGTCAAACCAACTCCGTTTCTCACCAAATTTCACAGACAAGTCTTAAATATTATAATGGACCTGTACCGAGCTACGGAACCAAAATACGAACCCGATAACAACGAGACCAAACATTAACCAAATTCTTAAGACCATTAAATTTTTCAGTTTTTCAATTTCCCACAAAAATTCATATCTTGAGCTAGGGACCTCGGAATTCGATTCCGGGCATACGCCCAGGTCCCATATTTCAATACGAACCCACCGGGATCGTCAAAACACGGGTCCGGATCCGTTTACTCAAAATATTGACCGAAGTCAACTAAATTTAACTTTTAAGATAAAAATTCTTGTTGTTATCAGTTTTTAGCATATAAGCCTTCCGGAAAAACACTCGGACCGCACACGCAAATCGAGGAAGGCTAAATTAAGATACTTAAGGATTCGAAACATAGAATTTTGTTCTAAAATAGGAGATGACCTATTGTAACGACCCGGCCGGTCGTTTTAAGAATTAACGCCCCGATCCCCTATTAATTGCATTCCCCGTGTTTGTTTCTACTATTGTGAGTTGCCGGGAAGATTTATTTGGAAATTCCGAGAGTTTTGGGACACTTAGTCCCTAAATGAGAGTTTAAGTTTTAGAATTTGGACCGTAGTCGGAGCAGTGTGAAGACGGCCTCAGAATGGAATTCCGTTGGTTCCGTTAGCTCCGTTGGGAGGTTTCGGGTTGGGGAGCGTGTTTGAATTGTGTTTTGGAGGTCCGTAGCTCATTTAGGCTTGAAATGCCAAAAGTTGAATTTTTTAAGTTTCCGGTTCGATAGTGAGATTTTGATATCGGGGTCGGAATGGAATTTCGGAAGTTGGAGTAGCTCCGTAGTGTTGAATGTGACGCGTGTGCAAAATTTCAGGTCATTCGGATGAGGTTTGATAGACTTTTTGATCGAAAGCATAATTCGGAAGTTTTTGGAATTCTTAGGCTTGAATTCGATGATGATTCGATGTTTCGATGCTGTTTTAGGTGTTTTAAGGATTGGTATAAGTTTGGATAGTGGTATATGACTTGTTCGTGCTCTTGGTTAAGGTCTCAGGGGCCTCGGGATGATTTCAGAAGGTTAACGGAGAGTTAAGCATTTGGAGTTGGCAGCTGAAGCTATGTTTCCTGTCATAACCGCACCTGCGTGTGTGGGACCGCAGGTGCGGCGCCGCAGAAGCGGCTAAGAGACCGCAGATCCGGCCATGTGAGGGAAGGCCAGTTTCCGTAGGTGCGGCAGTTCGAGCGCACCTGCGTAAGCGCAGGTGCGGTAGAGGAAGCGCAGGTGCGGCCCAAGGGAATTAATGAAATTTCGCAAATGCGCACCTGGGACCGCAGGTGCGAGTCCGCAGGTGCGAGAAAATGTCCGCAGGTGCGGAAGTACCAGGACAGAACATATATAAAGGTTCAGTCGCGATTTTTGCCCATTCTTTCACCATTTTCATCCGGATTTTTGAGCTTTTGGGAGGTTTTTGAGAGAGGATTCAAGGGATCTTCAAGGATGTAAGATTTTTGGAACCTAAACTCGTTATTATGGTGATTTTTATCAATTTTAGCATGGAATTTGAAGGAAAATCAGTGGTAAATTGGGGGGTTATGACTTGGTTAATTGGAGAGCTCTGAGTGGTGATTTGAGGGACCATTTGAGGTCCGATTTTGGTAATTTTGATATGGTTAGACTCGTGAGAGTATGAGGATTTTTAAAATATAAATTTTACCCGATTCCGAGACGTGGGCCCGGAGGGCGTTTTGGTCATTTTACCTAATTTTGCGTATTGGCTTAGCATTTATTTGTAGAATCAGTTACTTGAAGTGTTATTTACATTATGCAATATAATTGAATAGATTTGGGCCATTTGGAGTCGAGTACTCGTGGCAAGAACGTGGTTTCGGGTTGATTTTGAGTTGGTTCGAGGTATGTGGCTTGGCTAACCTTGTGGGGGGAAACTCCCCTTAGTATTTGTTGATAATTGAAATGCCCTGTACGTGAGGTGATGAGTGCGTACTTGTGCTAATTGTTGAAAATCCGTTTTCCTTAAGTAACTATAAATGTGATTTCCTGTTTCCTATTCATATCGTGTGTAATTTAAGCCTGCTATTAGCTTAGGGAAGCATGCTTAGTTGACTTAATTGCCTTACTTGCTCAAATTACCTTATTTGGATTGTGTGCAGCATGCTAGGCTAGAAATACCTGTTTTATTTTGGTATGGAAATTTGAACCGAATTGAGTATTCTTTTGTGTTGCTGCTGTGTGTTTACTTTGGGACTACGAGACGGTATCCCGGAGATCTCCCTGTATGTTTACTTTGGGACTACGGAATTGTATTCCGGGAGATCCCCCTGCACTTTTATATTAGAACTATGGGACTGCACCCGATAGATTCCCCGAGTATTGAGTATTTATATTTGGGACTACGGATGTGGTATTACGGTAGATCCCCACGCATTATGAGTTGGACTACGGGACTGCACCCGGGAGATCCACTGGATATTTATATTTGGAGACTACAGGACGGTATCCTAGGAGATCCCCCGATTGTTATCTTTGCGTTGAGCTGTATTTATTTCCGTGATTACTTTGTTTCTGTTAAAGTTGTTGTTGTTCTTCTATCCTGTGTTACTTTTTACTGTTGCACTTAAGTATACTGTCCTATTCTACACTGTTATATCTTGTATTTTCTTTAACCTCAGTAGGGCCCTGACCTTCTCGTCACTACCCGATCGAGGTTAGGCTTGACACTTACTGAGTACCGCTGTGGTGTACTCATGCCCTTCATGCGCATGTTTTTCATGTGCAGATCCAGGTACTCCACTCAGACTTATCACGCTTGAGGCGAGGCGTTTTGTAGAGACTCCGAGGTATATTTGCCGCGTCCGCAGATCGAAGAGTCCCTTTCTATTCTCAGTACTAGTATAGCCCCTTTTCTGTATTTTCCCTTGTTGGTAGACATTCTGGAGTTAGAGCTTATTATGTAATCATTTAGCTTGTGATTCATGGGGTTCCAGATTTTGGGAGTGTTAGATTGGGATTCTTGTACTATTATATAGTAGGTGGCATCTTAAACACTGTTTAACATTGTTAACTCAGTTTTTAATTACTTTCTTCTGCAATTGTTTCTTTTTTCCGCATTTGTTAGGCTTACCTAGCCGTAGAGACTAGGTGCCGTCACGACAGTTCATGGAGGGCGAACTGGGGTCGTGACACCTATCGGGTCATCACAGCTTCCACTAATGCCACTCCCACCTTGTCCCTAATAACTTCATTTCTGATCTTGTCTTTCCTGGTATGTCCACACATTCATCTCAACATCCTTATTTCAGCCATGCTCATATTCTGGACATGGATCTTCTTGACGGGCTAACACTCAGCTCCATAAAACATAGGCGGTCTAACCGCCACCCTGTAAAAATTACCCTTAAGTCTAGGCGGCACATTCTTATCACATAAAACCCCCGAAGCTAGCCTCCATCTCATTCAACCCCCTCCAATGCGGTGAGTAACATCCTCATTAATCTCCCTGTTGCCTTGGATTACAAACCCAAGATACTTGAAATTATCTCTTGTGGGAATGACTTGAGTATCTATCTTTAATTCCACTTCTTCATGCCTCTCATCACTGAACTTGCACTCCAAGTATTCAGTTTTCCACCTACTCATCTTGAAACCTTTGGACTCCAGCATTTGTCTCCAAACTTCCAACCTAGCGTTAACACCACGTCGCGTATCATCAATCAGAACTATGTCATCAACAAATAACATACACCACGTCATCCTCCCTTGTATGTGTCGTGTCAGCACATCCAACGCTAGGGCAAACAAAAAAGAGCTAAGGGCTGATCCCTGATGCAACCCCATCTCCACAGGGAAATGCTTTGAATCTCATTCCGCAGTCCTCACCTGAGTCTTAGCACCTTCATACATGTCCTTAATCTCCTCCCTCAGGACTTAGTCATAAGCCTTCTCAAGGTCAATGAACACAAGGTGAATGGCTTTTGTAGTTGAACGTCTCGGCATAAATCCGAACTAGTTCTCAGATATAGATACATCTGTCCTCACTCTCTGCTCCCCCACCCTCTCCCAAACCTTCATAGTGTGACTCAACAGCATAGTTGTTGCAATTCTGGATATCACCTTTGTTTTTGTACAAAGGAATCATCAAAATCCACCTCTAATCGTCGGGCATCTTCTTCATCTTGAAAATGACGTTAAACTGGCTAGTAAGCCACTCCAAGCCTACCCTACCCGCTACTTTCCAAAACTCTACCGGGATCTCATCAGGCCCAGTCGCCTTACCCTTGCTCATCTTCTGTATTGCCACATCAACCTCCTCGCACTTAATACGCCTACAAAATCTAAAATCTCTCCGACTCTCTAAGTTCTCCAACTCACCCAGCACGATGTTCCTATCTCCTTTATCGTTTAAGAGTCTATGGAAGTATTCGTGCCATCTACGCCTGATACACGCCTCTTCCACCAATAGCTTATCATCTTCGTCTTTGATGCACCTCACTCGATCCAGGTCTAGAGTCTTCCTCTTCCTAATCTTGTATAATTTGTACAGCTTCTTATCCCCTCATTTGCCCCCAAGATTCTCATACAATCTCTCAAAAGCTACAGTCTTAGCCGCCGTGACCGCGAGCTTCGCCTCTCTTCTTGCCTTCTTGTAACACTCCCTATACGACCTCCACTCTTCCTCTTCTGTGCACCCCATTAACTTCAAATATGCCGCTTTCTTAGCTTCCACTTTACCTTGGACCTCCCCATTCCACCACCAGTCCCCCTTATGGCCACCCGAGTAACCCTTCGAGATCCTTATCACCTCCCTAGCTGCTTCCTTAATTGAGTTCGCTATCGTGGTCCACATACTACTCACGTCCCCACTATTCCTCCAGGCCCCCATAGCCAACAGCTTGTCACGACCCAAATCCCCGATCTGGTCGTGATGGCGCCTCTCGTGAAGACAAGGCCAGCCAACTAACCCATATCGCCTTTTCAAAAATAGTTAAACATGAATAAGCAGTCTAAATATGATTTAATAATATTAATTAGCGGAAGTACAACCCAACACAGCCCTAATCGGGGTGTCACAAGTCACGAGCATCTATAAGAGGGTAAATACAACTACAAGGTCTAAAAATACACTGAACAGGAATAATGAACAACAGAGAGAGAAGCGGTGCTGCGAACGCTGGCAGTCACCTCGCTAAACTCCTATAGCTCTGCCTCCAATCAGCCAAAACCCGCTACCGGGTGAATAAATAACTTGTCATCTGTCACACAAGGTGCAGGGTAGTAGTACTCTAACTCATGAGTAATAAGGTAAATAACAACTGAGCAGTAAAAAATCACGTAAGGCAAATCATCATTGCTGTATAGAGCAGTGTAAAAACCCTCTTGAAAATAGTGAAGCTGTGAAATCCTTAGAAAAAAACATCTTGGCTCAGTTTAAACCTCTTTTGGAAATAACTTTTTCAGCGGTTACGCAATTGAATGCAAAACAATAGTGCAGATAAATACAGAAACTCGCTCCTCGGGCACAACACTCAGTTTTCAGATAATGCAAGGCAATCAGGTAGGTATTTCATGAAGCAGCACAGACAACAGATAATGGCAGACAAATGAAACAAAGTAAACACATAGAACAGTACCAGTACCGCTGCGGCATGCAGCCCGATCCATATATCGCTGCGGCGTGCATCCCGATCCATTTACGTCGTCGACGGCGCTCACTGGGGGTGTGCAGACTCCGGGAGGGGCCCCTTACGGCCCAAGCGCAATATCAAGCCATCTCGTGGCGTACATATCTCCGGCCCTCGGCCTCATAGTTAAATCAGTATCTCACTGCTGCGGCGTGCAGCCCGATCCAAAAGTATCCTCACAACACAGGCCCTCGGCCTTACTCATTCAGAAATCACATAAGCCCCGCGGGCAACAGTAAAACATGACGCTCAGCCCAAAAATATTGTCGGAAATATCATTTAAAGTGTTATAGTAAAATAAACTTGGCTGAGTTTTGAAAACAGTGGAAAATACATGACTGAGTTCAAGTATAAAATCAAAACAGTGAGGAAACAGTGATAATAATCCCCGAAGGGTTCAAATAGTTGGCACGAAGCCCAAATATGGCAATCAACACAAATCATGATGATAACAAGTAAATTTCAATCAAATACACGGTAAATTCATCAATCGGGACGGACCAAGTCACAATCCCCAACGGTGCTCTACCCTACGCTCGCTATCCGGCGTGCAAGTCACCTCAATATAGCACTACGATGTGCAATCCGGGGTTTCAAACCCTCAGAATATCAGTTACAATCATTACTCACCTCGAACCGGCGAAATCTCTAGCTCGCGACGCCTTTGCCCCTCAAATCGGCCTCCACGCGCGTCGAATCTATCCAAATTCAGAACGAATACATCACAATATGCTAAGGGAACAAAGCCCAAGCGAAAATAATTGAAAAATATCAAAAATCCCGAAATTAGCAAAACCCGAGCCCCGGGCCAACTTCTCGAAACTCAGAAATTTTTACATCAACGGGTTCCTTATCTTCCCACGAGTTCATACATACCAAAAGTTCTCAAATCCGACCCCAAATGGCCTTTCAAATCCCAAATCAAAAGTCCAATTTCTCAAGCCCTATTTCTTAAATTTTAGGCTTTGCTTCCATGAATTTCTAGGTGGATTTCACAATATAATCGAGTTTCAAGACCAAGATTCTTACCTCAAGTCGATTCCTCTTGAATCCCTCTTGAATTTCCTTCAAAAATCTCCAAAAACGAGCAGCCATGGGTGAAAGTAGACCCAAAATTGCGGACAAGACGACTTAAAAACATTCTGCCCAGCACTCAAAATCCTTCTTCGCGATCGCGGTCAACTCCTAGCGATCGCGATGCACTACATCTCGTTGACCATTAAATTGCCTTACGCGAACGCGACGAACCAGACGCGAACGCGATGCCTAATCCGCTTAAACCTTCGCGAGCGTGGTATCCATCACGCGAACGCGTAGCTTCCACTTGCCATACCATCGTGAACGCGAAAACTATATTGCAAACGCGAAACACAAAAGGGCCAGGACCCCAGCTGCTCTATTTACACGACGCGAACGCGGGAAACACATCGCGTTCGCGAAACACTCAGGACCTCACCCCTTCGCGGACGCGGGACCAACATCGCGAACGCGGAGGTAAAATTCATAGCCTCCTCATGCATCCCTTCGCGAACACGAGAGCCTTCTCGCGAACGTGAAGGCCAAAAGTCTGCAACAGAAACTTCAGAAAATCTACAACTTCAAAACACCAACAATGGTCCGATTGACCCTCCGAAACTCACTCGAGGCCATCGGGACCCCAACCAAAAGCACCAACATATCCTAAAACCTCATTCAAACTTGTTCCAATCATCAAAACACCTCAAACAACATCAAATCACTCAAAACACATCGGATTCAAGCCTAAGTTTTCCAAAAACTTCCGAAATACACTTTCGATCAAAAACCCGACCAAACGACGTCTGAATGACCTGAAATTTCGCACACACATCCCAAAGGACATAACGAAGCTACAGAAACTCTCGGAATTCCATGCGACCCTCGGATCAAAATCTCGCCTATCAACCGAAATTCGCCAAAATACTAACTTTGCCAATTCAAGCCTAATTCTACACCGGACCTCCAAAACCAATTCCGATCACGCTCCTAAGTCATAAATCATCCAACGAAGCTAACCAAATCATAAAAATTCCGATCCGAGCTCATATACAAATAAGTCAACTATTGGTCAAACCTTTTAAATTCAAAGCTTTCAACTGAGACTGTTCCTTCAAATTCATACCGATTTCCGTGAAAACCAAAACCAACGATCTACATCAGTCATAATACATCATACGGGGCTAGTCATGCCCGAGAACTGGCGATCAAATTGCAAAAGCTCAAAACGACCGGTCGGGTCGTTACATCCTCCCCCACTTAAACACACGTTCGTCCTCAAACGTACTTAGAGTTGTTCCAAAAGCCAACCAATCGCTGAATAACCTTGCCATGCATATACCCGGGGGTGATTCCACGTCACCCTATCTTATATAGGTCCGATAACACATTGCAACTGAAATTACACATTCCAGTCTGGCCCATAAACCATAGAATCATATTTTTCACTTCTGAAACCATTAATACGATCAAAACCTCACATTGATACTCTGAATAGAACTGAACTAGCTGTAATAACCCATGCCTGCAACCTCAGGTGCAATTATATGATATACCACATAACTCAAACACATGTAGCGATAACTTCCATTCACAGCAGATGCCCACAACAACCAAATACCAATAGAAAACCTCTTATCAACTAAAGTCTCATTCCAACACTTTCATCTACTGCCAACGATAACTGAAGCACGCAATAAACCATAACCATTACTCAGATCAACCATTCATGAAGCCGCTTCTCCTCTGGCAATACCATAGCAAATTTTCGAGCCGAACCTCGATCTTACCCTTCCGACATGCTGAAATCGAATCCGTTCGTATTCATTAATGATCCCAACGATCTCCTCTAATCCAACACACCACTCTGGTGACATGACACGTCAATAGAGGCCTAAGCCACAACTAGCATAATACGTGCACCAATATGTAGTGGTCCGAACACACTCAAATCATGAAAATGGTTCAAATGAAAGAGCTGTCCCACAAGCTCACCAGTACCGCCACAACACAAGGTTGAGAACCCGTCTCACATCATAGAATAGAACACACGAATCTAACCCGCAAGGTCATATCTCCACATAGCCTCGCTGCAATGCACGATCCTATCCAAATACTGTTCCACATGAGACATCTCAAGTC